CATGATCACCTTGATAAATTTATTAGCCACTTGTATTCATGATTAATTACCATACATTTGTATAACTTAGATGTACTTTGGTTACTGAGTGGTTATACTCACCATTCTCTTTTAACATATTATAGGAGCTAGCTCATGTCAGAAAAATAGAAGAAAGGAGCAATAGGTCAGGTGATAGTAATCATTTCTGTAGGCCTTTCTTTTTTTATTTTGATATGTATATTTAACTTATAATATTGCCAACTAGGATAATATATTCTTGATCTACTTACATGATGGGTTTTATGTTGGGGGAAATGTATTTTGGGTCCTGGAGAATGTGGTTTGATGCTTGTGCTATATTAACGAGTTAAAATATTTGTACAAGTGGAAATAGTTATCATTTGCTTAATTTGAGAACTTGAATGTTGTTACAGTCTCCCCTAGTGTTTTGATGTCTAAGGATGAGCAGTTGATATTAATTATATGTGAATGAAAAGGGAAATCCATGCATATGATGGGCTATTGATGAATAGATGATATATAGAGTATGATGATTAGGTAATAGTCATTGTGATAAATGTAATTGAGACCTTGGCCCCCCGCTACCAGTTATGAAAGGATTTGAGTGGCTAAGTGTTATGTTGTAAATATGTATATATGTATTGTGGAGTAAGGCATAGAGAGAAAATAAAGGAGGAAACTCTTTTCCCATGTTGATGTGTTTTCTTTATCATACTTTCGTATATGTCTAATTGAATGATATGAGTTCTTAAAATATTTTAAAGACTTGGGATCCCTTTATATTAAATCTTTGTGAAAATATATGTTAAGAATTTGTTTAGGTTAATCTCTTATAGGATAATCCTTTTAGGTTAGTCATTGATTTATTATAGTTACATTGATAAATAAGTCCTAATTTAGGACACCTTTTACACAAGATCCTCATTTAATCATGTTGTATTGTCATCAAAATTGCTATCGATAACTTTATCTTTTCAGTTCCATTCTTTCAATTGTGACATAACTTTATCTTTTTATTACTTTTAAGTACCTAAATCTCTTTTACGGGTTTTAGAATAAGTTATGTCTTAATGCTTTATTAGAGTGTCTGCCTCCTTAATATGATTATTTTAATTATATGCTCCTCTTTTACAAGATTTTGTATTAGGAACCAGTTAATCTCTCAAGCTTCAAGCATGTCTCATTTTCATTTACTCTAATTGGAGCATTTTTTGCTGGAACAATAAATTTACTAATTTTCATACAAGCTGGTGATTGTATCTGGCAAATGCTTTTATGATATTTTAGGAATATAACATTTGACAAACCCTTGGTTCATGTTTTTATATGTAAGGATCTAAATAAGATGTAGTGAAAATGCATTCCATATATTTTCTTTTTCAACTATTCATTTTTGCCCCCTCATGTGAGGAAAACTTTGTTAAATGATGACAACCAGCTAATCATGCAGTATAAGTCTCCTAAATTCATTTTTTTCTTTAGAAACATTTCTTTATTTCATTCAGAGACAAACAAGAAGGAAGAGATTCTTATCCAATATTTATTCCAACTTTCCATAAATAACCATCCATGTGTAGTGTGGTAGGACAATGATAATTAGCATTGCATAATCAAAAATTCTAAGATAGCATATACTCAGCTATTAACCAAAAGCCAACTTCAAAAAGGAAAATTTACAATATTTTATTAGTTTAATGTGTATTGTGTTGTAGTCTGCAAAATCAAATATTCTAAACTAACAATGAAAATTTTATTCTCATAAATATTAATTTAGCTATTTGTAGAAAAGGTTTTAATGAATGATTAAACTAGATCATATTTTAAATCGGCTTTTTTAAAGCCCCAAGTATAAATTTACTAGCATTTCCAATTAAAATTGTCTATGTCATAGAGTTTGGAAATTGTATGCTTTTCTATAATGATTTATACATATAATCTTGTAAATTGCAAGTTAAAAAACATTTGATTGATATATCTATCAAATTTATTGAATATTTGAACTATTCATGTGCCATCTAATGGGCTTATGTATCTAAAGTTGTTATAGTTTTAGAAATGGATGGATCAATTCTTAATCATAACTAATAAACATCTCATATTTTTTTTTAGAACAAGCAATACATTTAAAATCTTAAAGTATATAGCATATTTTCTGTTCGTGAAGAATCTTCTAGTTCTTCAATGGATGCCAATTTATATTCTCAATAACTATTTGCATTATACTCTATCTATTTTAAATTATAAGACACTTTTAGATAATATTTTATATACCAATAAACCTCATTTAATATAGTTAACAACCTTATCTTTTCAAAATAAAAAAATAAATTTTTTAAAAATATCTATTATTTAATATATTAAAAAGAGAATGGATGAAAATTAATTATAGAGAGAGAAATGATAATATTAAAAATGTGCACTTATTAAAATCTTAATATATTTAAAGTATTTTATATTTTGCGACAGAAAAACTCCTTTAAAAGTGCTTTATAATGAGGATGGAGGGAGTATATGATTTGGAATGATGAAACAAATAATGCTAACAATATGCATGGTGGATTAGTAAACTTATGATTTACTGTAACAAAAATCAACAATAAACTTTTTATTTTTTTCATAACACATAATTGATTTATAATATCAATTTGCATCCATCGAACTTTGAGAGCAAGTATGTAAGTGATACACAATAATGATATTGTACCCCTACAATCTCCCCCTCATGTAGGAGTTACATAAATATAATTTATCTATTGTTGCATTTTGAAGACAGTGGCATGTATATCGTAAATAAATAGGCTACCTTTTATTAAAAAAGCTGAGTGCTTCTCAACTCACACAAAATTACAAATTTCAATTTTTATTTTTTTTTATTGAGCTATTTCTCCAAACAAATTTCTCAACTCACAAATCTATCATAAAAAATAGACAAATAATGATTGGCCAAATATAAAAAGGAAAAAGAAAATAAGTACTTGAAGTGAAAATTACAGGCATGTAATCTAAATATTTAAAGTGTAAAGTTATTTCGGGATAAATGAACACATATATGAAAATAAAGATTTTCATAGAGATCTAATAATGGTCGAGTACATTATTTTGTGATAGATTTTTCTATATATTATTAGTTTGATGGTGTATAAAATTGAAATTTGATGTGCTTTTATTGAATATTATTTTAGCCTATGCATATTACTTACTACATATATGATTATTACCTTTCTCATAAGCAAGGTAAGTTTGCTAATCTTTCATATTTGTTAATATTATATCAATTCCATCAAACGCTAATTGTTAAGATCACAATAAAAATAATTTTCAAATTCATCAAAACTTTTCATGGTATAAAATATTTAAACCATTAACCGTTCAATATTATATTATTTATAGACATCAAATAACTAAATTACTAATAAACCCCATAATGATCTTCAAAATCTAAATCTATGTAGCTTTTGGCCATTTAATCCTAAGATGAATATAACATGGCTCAATTGATCATCTATTAACACATTCAATACTTTTTAATTGGAGTCATAAATCATTATGAAATTAATAATAACGACCACACCATAGATGAATAAATCTTGAACATTTAAATCATAAGACATGAAATATAACAATAGTAGAAATTAACAACATAATCACAATATCATACTTTCCCATGATAAATAAAAATCTTCAAGTAATCAATGAAGAATCGTTCAAATATATGGCTTTTACAAATTTATTAAAAACACATCCTAATAATGTTTATAAATAAAATATATAGAGAATAGAAATGAGAAGAAAGAAGAGAAGATGAAGAAAGAATATAAGTAATAGGAATGAGTATAAATTTTCTTCCATCATTTATAATACAAATAACATGCCATATTTATATGCATGATCTTACATCAAATATTAATAAAAAATAAAAAATAATCAATACTCATAGAATGATAAAAGTTTTATAAAGAAGATAGAAGGGTGAGGAAAATAAATATTCACATGACTCTTAATATTTATAATATGGATAAACATTTTATTGAGAGTCTTCAATTTTTCCCCCCCTCTTTGGAGCCCTCAGTATCTTCCTCCCAAAAAGCAACATGATGTCCGCGTTAATGAATAAAATATTATTAGTTTATAATCGACACGAGACAAAGCGTCAATGTTGCAAGAAAAAAAAATTAGAAGAATGGTAATGAAAAAATGGCGTGATGCGGGCGCAGCGCGACTTATCGTCGCCTGAATTCAGGAAGAGAAGGGAATAAAAAGGCCAAGCACTCGTCATCTAAACGCGCCACAGCTTCTTCATCCTTTAACCAAAACGATTGGTTGGACCTTGTAAGTTCAATTCCAGCGTGACTTGGTAAATAAAGGTTAAAGCCCAGTCATGTTCCTATATTTTTGGATGTTAAATATTTTTAATAATATCATTATTTTTTTTAAAGTGTCTATATCAATAAATGATTTTATATTTATTATAAAATATTTAATAAAAATAAATATAAAAATATATGGTTAATCTATAAATAAATAACTACTTTATTAAAAGATAATATTTAATTCAAAATATTTTACATTTTTAAATAAAATAAATATTAAAAAATATTAATATAAATTTTTTTTTTCGATGTCAGTTGTACAATTTATTTTAAATTAATAACAATTTTTTTAAATTTTTTATTTATATTCTAACAACAACAAGTTTTTCACTGATGTAACGTTTTTCTACCCGTACTTTGTTGCTATTTTCCCGATTATATTATCCAAATTCCAACTCTAACCGCGCCACCTTTCAACTTAAAGATGGCGGGTTAGATGTCAATTGCTTTTACATCTCGTAACGCTCATCATTATATATTGTACATTTTGCAGGGCATCCGATTCGCTCCACGTCCCCCCCCCCCCCCCCCAAAAAAAAAAAAAACACCCCTCCCTTGTCACTGCTTCCACCATCACCACGCCTATTTAATGACAAACGCAATGCAAGTGCCTAAGAGGTCAGTCTTGTTTCTCTCTGGCTTTTACCCTGAACTCGGACCACTTTCATCTTTCCTCCCTCCCCCTTCCCTTCCCTTTACTCTACGTACATTCGCAGCCTCATCGTTTCTCGCTCACCATTTTCCCAGGAGGTTCGTTTAGCCTCCTACTTTTTCACCTCTTCCACACTCGGTTTCTTCTTCGCCCCCGCTTTTCTTTTGCTTCGTGTGTACTGGTTTTCTTGTTCTTTAAGCTTTTAACTTTTCGCGGGCAGTTACTCTGTTTGTGGCTGTGCTGTAGATTGTTTTGGGACCCTTTCTCATTTTTTAGGCCTAATTAAAGTAACAGAGTGAGATGGTTGAGAATATTGCGAAGTACGGATTTGGATTGCTCTTCTTGATTGGGAAGTTGAACTTTTGGGTATTTCTTAGAGCGTGGCCTGGGCAATTCTCAGAGTCGGAACAGAGTCCAGTATATTGTGCACCGTTGTTGATTCAATGTAAACGTCATAATAAGATATCCAGGTTTTTCTTTCAAGCAGCGGGTTATTCCTTGAGAAAATATGTTTGATAAACAATTTAACTTTTTGCTGTGTTCATATGTTCATTGTTTCTGCTTGCTCTTAATCACGCTTGATTAATAACAAGAGAAAATCGGGTTGCAGGGCTGGCCAAAGTACCGAATTTGTGTGTGTTTCCCGGGTAAACGTACCAAATTTCTGTTGAATTGTGAACTATCTGTCCACTTTATTTGCGAGAAAGGTTGAACTTCAACAACCACCATGGCTCATTTCTTCATGGTACGGAAGTTTGATCATTTGCCAATTATCTGTAATCTTCCATATAGGCAGAAACTCTTTGCCTTAATTGTTCAATATTGGTCTGCGCGCGCGCGCACCCGTCTGCATGATATGCATGTAGCCGCTTTGTTTAAGTGTTAAGCCCTAATTGTTGTTGTTAGTGGGTCTCGTTGGGAATATTATTCAATAATGGATCTAAGCATCTCCAATGATTTGAAATCAATGAAGTAATGGCATATTTTTATCTTGAATTTGGACAAATGTCCAAAGTAATTTGCCTTTTTTGGGTTTGGTGACACTTGCGGAATCTCATATCTAGGTACCGTGAGTTACACTCCTCATTCATTAACACTTAATGCTGTCAAGATGCGTATTCAAGTAATTCCTAATTATTCTTGGGATATATTTTTGTCATATTCAGTTTTTCGTATTCATTTTGTGAATCATATATTTATCAGGAGGTAATCAGTAGCATACGCAATATTCAATGGACAAAAGCCATGAAATCAGTGTACAAGATCAAATACCATTGTACTTGCCTGGCAATGATAGTGGCAAAGATACTTGCACATGGTCATCATCTCCTGAGCCTGATCAGAAAATTGATATAGGCAAGCAGATATTTTGCAATCGGTCTCTGAATATGAAGAACATTGTTGCTGTGGGATTTGATATGGATTATACTCTTGCACAATATAAGCCCGAAACTTTTGAGACTCTTGCCTATCAAGGCACCATTAAAAAGCTGGTTTCTGATTTGGGATACCCTAAAGAGGTTTGTTTGTCCATTTAATTACCACGTCCAATCAGTCTTTGCTATTCTTGTTCTTGCATATTTAAATTGCTAGTTTGTTGTGGTTCATGATATGCGCTTACGGTAATTTCCATGCACACCACTCTCTCTCCATAAATTATTTCTCCAATATAATATTTTGTGATCTTATGAAGTTTTATGTATTGTCATTTTATTCATACACATAGACAATTTGTACCATGCTGTACTTGGCTTAAAGAAAGTTTATCTTCTGCAGTTGCTAAAGTGGTCGTTTGACTGGAAGTACATGGTCAGGGGCTTGGTCCTTGACAAAAAAAGAGGAAACATCTTGAAGGTTAAGGCTGAATTAATTTCTTTTCTTTCTCTGCCACCTCCATGAGAGAGAGAGAGAGAGAGAGAAAGGTGGGGGAGGTTTAATCATATTTAACTTTTTGTGTCTAATTGCTGGATTTCTGCTTATGCCTATTAGATGGATCGCCACAAGTATGTGAAAGTAGCTTATCATGGATTTAATGAGTTGTCGAAAGTAGATAAAGTTGGGACCTATGGAAATACTTTAGTACGCAATTCTTTTGACGAGCCAAACTACGCACTCATTGATACGCTCTTTTCACTTGCTGAAGCCTATTTGTTTGCTCAACTGGTTGATTTTAAGGACAATCATCCTGGAGAAATTCCGGAGCACGTTGAGTAAGTATTATTCATGTTGCATAGTGAACACTTGCATGTTTAGTATCAAGTGGGAGGAAAAGTTGGTTATCTTTTAAAATGGGGTGTTTGTAAATTATCCTTTATCAATGATGTATGCTGTTGAACCAGCTTATAGGAAGTCCAATGCAGTAGCTAGCTTGCTACTATGGTGCCATGGTAATAGCAGGCTGGTGAAATACAAGCAGTATTTATTTACTTAGAGCAGGGCAATAATACTTTTGCACTAGAATATTTTGTTAGTGTTGAAATAAAGCCAAAGGCTTATAAAAGGCCATTATCTGTAACATAATTGCATGGCTATTTGAACGAGCAATATATCAATATTCTTTATGAAATACCCTTCCAGTTATGCTCGCATGTACAAAGATGTTCGAGCTGCTGTGGACATGTGCCACAGAGATGGGACATTGAAGCAAATGGTGGCAAAAGATCCTAAAAGGTATGGTTAAACAAGAAATGGTACCATATCGAAGTAAAAGTAGGATTGTGGTGGAAATATAAGTTGTAAAAATTAAACAACCGAATATGAGTTATTAATGAGATTAAGTTGGTGGAAAATACTGCTGTTCCTGAGAAGTTAGACCTCCTTTCTTGAATATCATATATCATCTTTGGATGCTCGATGAACATTTTCTGACTTGTTCATTTTCCATGCAAGGTATATTAATGAAGACCCTTCAATAGTGCCCATTCTTCAAATGCTCAGAGCTTCTGGACGAGCTGTATTTTTGGTGACAAATAGGTAGTTATGGCTTTTCACCAGTTAAGTGGGAAAAAGGGGGGAAAATTATATTCCAACTGTTTTGTGTTTATTAAATGATGGAACAAGTTAGATGTATCACATTGTTAATGATACAAATCCATGTCTTTGCAATTAGGAATTCCTAAAATGTTAATACCTTTCGAATTGTCCGAACAATATAGAAGGCAAAATTGTCACACGTTGCAAAATTTCAAGATTGTAATCAAGAAGTATTTTTAAATTTGTCACGAGTGATCTCGTGGCAAATATTGGAAATCTGGAATGAATTATCTCAGAACATACTCATACTATTGGCTCAACTAATATTTTACGCGTTCACATATATCATTTGCAGTTTTTGGGACTATACAAACATTGTGATGAATTTTCTCTGTGGCTACCCTATGGTAGATGGCAGAACCATTTTTGGTTGGCTTCAATATTTTGATGTGGTCATCACGGGCAGGTCATGTTAATTTCTCAACGTCAAGATCTCTACTTTGTTCCAAAACTTGTACTGGTTTGATCCCAGGATCTGGAGTGAATTTCTTAATATTCTTGACTCTTTTTTTTTTTCGGGATTTGGTATGTGATTGCAAGTCGAACTCATGAATAGACCAATGAAAATATAACACTCTCACCTGCAAAACACAGGACCAATTGGCTAATACCCTTGACTCTTTAATTTAACTAATTGGCTGAGCCATTGTCCAGTGGATTGGTTTCGCAGTTTCATTCAGCCAGGACTTTTAAACATCAATTATGCATCATTCAGTTCATTTACAAACTTAGGTAGAAGCATCCAGTAAAATTATTTCCATTTTGCAGTTTTTTAAGCTTGAAAAATAATTTTTTGGGCTTCCACCTGTATGCATTAATGTAACTTAGTTTCATAATAAACTGAAAAAGTGTGTAGTCCATGCAGTGCAAAGCCAAGCTTTTTCCATGAGGAAAATCGTGCCAACCTATTTGAGGTTGAGCCTGAGACTGGAATGCTAATTAATACGGATAATGGCTCTCCTATGCCTCAGGTAAGCACCGCATCACATTAAATCATTTTATTGTTTCCTATGATAATCTTGTTTTATTATCTGTCTTGCCATTCTTGGAGAAGGTGGGTGATATCATGGCTAGATTATTGCCAGAAGACAAGGGTGTTCATAAAATTTTCCAGGTACATTTGGATAGCTTTATGCTAAACAATTTGAAGAAGCTTATAAATACCTGGTCTGAATCATATTAATATATTTATGGTTCAGCATATCACTATTTGTAAATTTAATATGGTTATGAACTTCTGTTTTAGGGGGGCAGTGTTGGTCATCTGCATAAATTACTTTCAGTAGCATCAAGCTCACAGGTGACTCTCTTCTTCTTCTTCTTCTTCTTTTTGGTATGGCATCATCTATGATTCCATGATTAGATTGTAGTAATTTATATTATAAACTATGTTGTCCTATTAGATGCTGATTACTTTCATATTTAAACGTTAAAGCTGTTGATTTAGGAATGTCAATACCTATATTGCCCAAAAAAAAAAAGGCATGTCAATACCTTGCAACGTTTCTTGAAATGTCTTGTGCTATGTTTGTGTAGGTTCTGTATGTTGGAGATCACATTTATGGAGATATATTACGCAGCAAAAAAGTTCTTGGTACATCATATAAATCCCCAATGCTGTCTTCTAAATAATTTTTCTTTTTATTTTTTATTTTTTTTTACTCGAAAGCTTTTGCATTTTTTATGATTGAAAGTTAAATTCCCGGGAGGAATATGAAACAGATATTACATTCCGTTAAGCTTTTACAGCCGAGTCCAAGTGCTATATCTTGTATGTAGTCGGCTGCTTGCCTGAGTAAAAGCTCCAATCTTTCAATTTTATTATGTATATTGGTAAAATTTCACTATTTTTAATGGTTTAATGAGGTTGTGATTTAAAGCGTTAAACGTGCAGGATGGAGAACAATGCTTGTTGTCCCAGAACTTGAGAAGGAAGTTAAACTCCTCTGGGAATCAAGAAATACCCGCAAGGTGCTCGTTTGTTGTTTTACTTCTGATCATCGTCATCGTTTGACATTTGATAATTATCTCAGCCTACTATTTCTAAATTTTTAGTGAGGTTTAGTTTAGGGTTCTGATAGTCTTGCAGGAACTTCAATTCTTGAGGAGTGAGCGCGATCGCATTGAGGATGAAATACATCGTTTGAAGTGGTCTCTCAAGTTAGTATAATTCTCTACCGTCTATTCTTCGCTTTAGAATTTGTGTGCAGTTTTAGTAAATCACACTTTGTTCAGATCCAAGAATCCAAATGACTATGTAGACCCAAAGATATCTTCAGAACTTGATGAATTGGAGGTTAGGCCTCTTTTCTCATGGCCTCATGTCAGGCACGGTAGTTCAATTTCATACCTAATCACGTGCGATATTTTTGACAGCTTGAAAGAGACAAGGTGCGTTCAAGTCATCAAGATGCTCAAAGAAAATTACACCAGAGGGTAATATATATTTTTTTATTTTCTTAATTTATCTTGCCAGCAGTATGGTATATTATAATGATATATTCAACTCTGTAAAAGAAATCTTCACCGTTTATAGTGAAACTTTGCAGTTCCATAAGGTATGGGGCCAGCTTATGAAGACCGGCTATCAAAACTCTCGTTTCGCTCATCAGGTAAAGCCCGACTTTCCTTATTGGGCAGTCAGTATATATGCAACCATTCTTGCACGAGTAATGATATTTTTGAAAATGAACGGACATTCTTCAAATGCTTGTTCAGATGGTAACAGATTAAATTGATTTTTTTTTTTTCCGGGTGTGGGTGACACTTCTTGTCATTGACTTGTGCATTATGCAGGTTGAGAGATTTGCCTGTCTGTATACTAGCCAAGTTTCAAACTTGGGGCTGTGCTCTCCAGACAAGTACTACAGGACCAGTGAGGACTTCATGCCGCATGAATTTAACATTGTAGCTTACGAGCTTCGGGACATGGAGATGTAGGAATTTGAGGAATCTTTGATTTTGGTTTGGGAATCTGAAACCTTCCCATCTGCCCTCGACCCCTAAACATAGCTTGGGTTAGAAATATTGAACTCGTAACTGTGATGTTCCAATTTTGGAACATCTGCTGGGACGTGTGAAAGCTGGCTAGGTTATACACGTTGTCCAACATAATATCTTCCTTTTACTGGGCAAATATACGTTCAGATTACATTACAGTCTACAGGCGGCCAAAGTAATTGCTAGAACATGAGCTGCTGTGCTGACGTCGCTTTGTCGAGGAAGTCAAGCTGCTGCAAGTGGCAAACCAACACCCGATTGCATGTGGTAAAATACTACACGTAATTAAAGGAGGCATTTACTTTTTCGAAAAAAAGAAATCACTGTGAAAAGTCGGTTGGTTTAGTAATTATTTTTTATTAAATTCCTTTTCCCCTTTTTTAAAGTCTTTATAAAATTATTATATAATTCCGTTGTTAATAATATATATGTTCGCTTTCATATCGGGCGAGCTCTCCATATAACATACTCGGGAAATTACAATAAAGACATAAGAAAATCCTCGTACTCCCAAATCCCAGCCAAACGCACATGTAGGTTTGTGACCCTGCGGAATGGGGACTTCTTCTCGAAAGGGGAAATGAAGTGAGTTCGAGAAAAATTTAACTGTGTCATTGTAAAATCGTAAATTTTCAAAACTAAATTTGTGTTTCGTTGTTGTTAATTAGCGGAAAAATAGTGACTCTCGGAAGTGAGAAGACAAGAGGTTGATTGCGTCAAGAGTCCTTTTGTGTAAGTAGCATGATTTACATTGCTTAGACAACGGCGATCCGGAAAATAAGCTATACGCGGAAAGCCTAACCAAAGGAGAATCACCAAATCCACCTTTAATGGATGCTTATTTTGCGCCCCCAGTTTCCACCTCTTGAATTTCCAATGGTTCAGGGAAAACTTCACTGGACAACCTTTTGTGGGAAGAAGAGTGATCATTTCCACCACTACCCTGAGACCCTACTCTTCCTGTTTGTTTAAAACCACTGGCAGTAATAACCTCTTTGTTCGCAGTTGCAGTGGCACTTTCTGACGAGCTCTGTCTCCAGCTACCGAAGAATGCTGTGCTCCAAGATCTCCTGGATGAAGTTGTTCTCAACCTGGCTGAGCTACTATTATATTCTTCCCTCACTATCTTCAAAGGATTTTCCAGTGCTTTTAGGACATGCCCTATTAGAGGGCGTTTAAAAGGCTTGGGGTTGAGGCATGATCTGGCCACAATTGCCATAGCCCATACCTCTTCCAACAGGTCCTCATCCACAATAAGAGATGGGTCTACCATCTTTGTCATCTGTTCCTTGTCATGTATGCTTATATAAGACAATGTTTGCTCTATCCACTCTCTTGTGTTGGCATCATTTGTCTTGCTAATTCCAAGCTTACCGGTAACGAGCTCAAGCAGGACCTTCCCAAAACAGTATACATCATAAGCACATGCCGCAGATGATGAACCTGTTCATAATTTTACGCCAAACAGAGAATATTATGTCAGATACTCAAATGAGTGCATGTTTCCTTTTAAATCACCAATTAGATTCAGCGTAAAAGGCTTGAAGATCATGTTTCGTGGATGAGCTGTTAAGAGTCCACATGGAATGTGATTAAAGTGATAACCCCAACATGGTTACGCAATTTACTCACCTGAATTGTTTTGATCAAAAGATCTGCAAGCCACAGGAAAAAAACAAAATGATTAAAATGAACTATAAAGAAGTTTGAACATCAACAGTGGATACAGGTCACTGAATGAATAGGAATTGACAAATTTGATGCCTTCATTTTGACAGACTTAATTGCCAGAGATATTGATCAAATCATGTAAACTGCATTAATCACTAGCTACGCTGATTTTCATTGGCATAAATAAATGAGATATTGTGTTTTGATTGAGGAGGGCAAACGGCAAGGATGATATAATTTTCATCTATACGATAAGTGCCAGTAAAAAGGCATATGACTGACCTACCAAGCTATTCTTGCCTGTAGGTACATCCAAACCCTGTGTTTTTTAATCATTGTGTTCAAACCATTCAAGGCTTCAACAAGTGCTGAAGTCTTGTAGCATTCTCCTCTTGTTTAATATTCATTCATTTTTTTAACAGCCATACTTTACAATTATGTGATACAGATATGACATTGATTTTTTTGGGTGAAATGTGGTATAACATTGTCAATGAATTCAACACTTACTGTGACTTGCGAAATAACCTTGTGATGACATTCTGGTGAAGATCTCCCTGGACAGTAACCTCACTCAAACTTCCAAGTCTAACTTCAAATTTATCATCAAGAAGTATACTACTTGCTTGGACATCTCTTCAAAAAGCAAAAGTAAAATTCAGTTCCAAGGAATAATCATATTTTGCCAATTATATTGAAGAGAGAGTCATAAAACACTCGATATTCTATAATAGATTACATGTGACAGTACCTATGGACAAGGGGAGGGCTACACTCATGCATGTAATATAGGCCTTCAGCAGCTCCTATTGCAATTTTCAACCTGGTGATCCAATCCAGGGGCGGTTCTTTATCATCAGAGCCACTCACTCTGTGCAAACAAGTAGCCAAATCTCTATTTGGCATATACTTGTAAACTAAAAATTTCTCATTCTCATTCTCCAAGCAGTGCCCCAGCAGCGGCACCAATCTTTTATGCGAAACCTTGCTTAGCAATTCCAATTCCAATTTGAACGATTCTCCCTTGACTAAGTTCAAGTCTACCTTTTTCACAACCACGCTCACTTCACCTTCCAGGGTTCCCTTAAAAAGGTCTCCGGAATGACCATGCTTGATGATATTAGCTTCAGCAAAATTACCAGTCAAATAGAGTATTTGCTCATAACTAAATGATTCTCCCATTTCGCTGTCTAACATAGGATTCTTAGGAGGCATAGGACTTTCCCCTTCTTGAACGGGTCCCTCTTTTGCTTCCCTTTTTCGAGTTTCAGTGCTATTACCACATTTTCCTAGAAGCAATACCGGGACCAATGCTAGAATTACAATAAACACAAGCCCACCAAATGTGCCTGCCAAAATGAATGTCACTCGTTTGTTGTTTCTGGACTCTGCTTCGACCAAAGGTGACGGCGCTGGTTCTTGAGCACCAAAAAAGATTAGGCTTCTCTGAGCATAAAACAGTCTACAATCTCTAGAAATCCTTTGTTTCGGACTCATTATTAGGCAATTTGTATCAAGAATAATATTACTTGAGCCATGATCAGGCACCTTACCTTGGAAATAATTACTGGACAAATCAATGATCCTAAATTTCTTAAACGAAGTATTAAGATATCCATAGAACAAATTGCTTGAGAGGTTGAAGATGGCACCGGTAGATTTAACATTTGTTCCAAATTTCGGCAGGGTGCCAGTAAGGTTGTTGCTGGATACATCAAGGAAGAACAGGTGGCTCATTGACCACAATGCAGGAGAAGGAAAGCCATCAAAAGCATTCCTACTCAGAGACAGGCTTCGTAGGAGAGTAAGATTAGAAAACAAATCACGTGGCAATGGCCCAGACAAAGAATTCTTGCTTAGATCAAGCTTAATTAACTGAGAAAGATTACCCAGTTGGTAAGGTATTGAGGCGATGAAGTTATTATCGGAAAGATTCAAAAACTGAAGCCTACTAAGGTTACCAAGATGGGCTGGAATGGAACCAGACAAAAAATTAGAAGAAAGGTCAAGGCTTGTGAGATTGACAAGAGACGAGAAAGAGTTGGGTATTGATCCAGTAAGCGAATTTCCTGAGAGATTCAGAACCGATAAGCTGGATAATTGCCCCAATGTGGAAGACATTCTCCCAGTGAGACTATTATCTGCTAGAATCAGATACTTCAACCCACTCAAATTCCCAAGCGACGGAGGAATGAGACCCGTGACTGAGCAAGAACTTAGATCGAGCCTTTGGAGTGTCCGCAGGCGCTGTCCGAACCAGTCAGGAATGGACCCATTTAGCACGAACCCAGAAGCTTCGAATGACTCTAAGAGTGTGAAATTGACAAGAGAATCCACCGCGAAACGAGCATGGTGAAGCCCGAGTCGTGTTCGTCTTAAACCGGATAAGTTGATCCCAACGACTTGCCCGTTCTGGCACCGAACCCCGGTCCAGTTCCTGCACGGTTCCGCTTTTATGGGCCAGTACTTGCTGCGAATTCCCAACGACGAGCGAAGCTGACGCAGCGCGACCCTTTCGATTCCGAAGCTCGAAGATATTCCTCGAGCTAGGCCAAACTGAATAAAGAGCAAGATAAAAGTTGTCTTCAGTAATACTAGCCGCAATTCCATGGCTATGTTTGAGAAACTGAGGCTTCCTTTAATTATCTTCTTGTTGCTCTGGGGAGTTTCATCTTCTACCTCCTCACCAACTTGACCTGTTGGTGAAGTTAACGTCTCGATGCATTTGCAACTGCGAATGTGAATTGATCAAACTTAGCGTATATCCCAGAAAAGACTAGTGACAGAAATCATACTAATTGCCTAGCTATTTAAATTCTCGCACCCAATCACTGGCTCTGATTCCGCATTAATGGTGCTGTGCTGCCTCTTGTAAACTCTGATCCAATCCAAGGAAAGAATTTAGTTTTCGAAAATATTTTTTAAAAAAAGGGTGGAATTAAGCTACTACGATATTTGAAGTAGTAGAAAAGTGTCAATTAAAGCGATATCTGACTCGTTTAAGTGCCCTATAAACAGAGAAGGGGCAGGAAGAACATAAATGAGAGAGATGGGAGTGGGTGAAGGCCTCTGAAGTACTGAGTGTGTGTGTGGGTCGTTTTCAAACTCACCGGACTTATTAATGCGCTTGGGAGGTGGTGAACAGTGTTGGCTTCCCCTTCAAGCCCTTCGAAAGTTGTGACGTAGTTATGGTGACTCTGGTTTTCGCTGCTTGCCGGCCTGCAGAGAGGCTCTGTTTCAGTCAGCTCATTTGAGGCAGAAAAGCTTGTTATGCTTGGTGAGAATATATGATTAATCAACTGTAAACCGTCCGATTCTCCGAGAAGTTTCGCGGAATTAGACAATCAACCGAGTTTTGAATTTTCTTTCTGTGATTGTGGTGTGCTCCAGGGATCAGATGACGACGATGGAATTGTCTCTTCACTCAGCATCATTCTGCTTTTCCGCGTACAATTTCCAAATGACGACGATGGAAATGTCATGCTTCGGTACAGACAAAAATCAGAACAGCAGCCTAGTACTCGGTCCAAGATATGGATGTGCATGCATGTCCTCATTTCTGGTATTCAGCCAATACTTTATCTAAGGCCAGAGCTGATAAACTATATTATCTTAGTTCCAGCAATTCCACAAATATTGCATGTATACAATACCTCAAAATTAAACTGATATTTGTGTATGCTATTATTTGTCCGACTTTCCTTTTCAGCGGGTACGGTCCTTTACATGTATCCATACATAAACTTATCAAGTGTATGGCTAGTTTTATCTTGAACGAAGTCTTTTGGTTGCTTTCATTGAAAGGTGGTTTTGACACTACTCATTATGAGACCAAACACATGTTTAGTGTAGCATTTGTAACTGCCGATAAAAGCTATGGATACCATCTATTAGATGTGGAAGTAATATTTCGAGATCCAGGGTATACTGGTAAGGATAGTCCAAAGTGATGATAATTATGCCTGTTTTTTTTTTTAAAAAAAAAAAACCATCCTGATCCCACACATGGTCACTATTTAGTTATTCATTTTCAACATAACGTGATCAGCATGATATAGTAAAGTAGCAAATCATTTAACGGTGTCATCGTCACTGCAGGAAACTCTTCTGAGCAAAGTTAGCAACACCTATCAAGTTGAGCTAGCAAGTCTGACCGTATACGTTTTTATGAATTATGAGCATTTTGGACAGAGCTAAGTTCATAGGAACATTGATTGAAAATATCTTACTCCAATATTTTTAAAAAAATACGGGGAAGAGGTGGTTCTGTAATAGTAATAAAAGAAGGTGATTTCGTTGCAATAAAGAATTTTAGCTAGGGAAATAGACATCAGCTTTTGATATTTTGAGTTGAATTGGTCAAGCATCCCGTAAAGTTCCTATCCAACAATTAATAATTGCGGGAGAGGCTTTGTTCCAAACAGCGAGCGTGATATAAATACACACACTTATGACTAGCCGACGTGGCAGGTACTTCCGCGTCGTCCTACGTGGAGTAGTTAGATGATTCTTAGTTATATTTGAGGGCTGGCCTTTCTAAGTTTTATTCCCCTTCAGCCCCTCTCCCTCTTCGATCGTTACATGCTACACAGATGAACTATGGTGACTTTAAAACATGGGTACGATTCTTAAATTTTACACCTTATTGCGATTCTTTTATTTTATATTGATTATTGATTATTGATATTAACACTGATGTGTCATTATCGTCGATTGCCATTGGACGATATTTAGATTTTGTCACGGTGCAGGCATTGCCATCCGGCATAATTATCTAATTTCCCCTGTTTATACATTGTATGGAATATTAAATTCATAGAGAATTAATTGATTTTAAAAACGCCTGATTTTATTGAAAAGTATGGTCTCAATTTGAAGGGAAAGGCCTCCTTTGCACTTTCTGTGGTGGCTGTTCTTTTTGTCAAAAACCGCAGTTAAAAAACTTTGAACTGACCTTTCTTGAATCTTATCAGGTTAAGGGATGTTTAACTCCATGGCTTCTTTATTTTATAACCAAAATAAATTTAGAAGATACCCTTGATCATGTCATCCACCAGACCACCACCTTGAAGTCCCCTCTGTTTCGGCAAAACAGAAAATGATGTTTTTTTTTTCATTTGCATTATTATTATTATTATTATTATTATTATTATTATTATTATTATTACTGATTTCGACGTCTCGTGATTATTATCAGTGGCACAGTTACTTGCAAGTGACAATGGCAAAATGGCCCACTTATTTTTAAAAAGAAAAAAAATTAAAAGAATATGTGCGGGGCATGCTGTGTTTTTATACTTGACCTCTGCTGGTTTTAGTATCTTGAATATACTAAATTTAAACAAGGGAAATTAAATTACTGTCGATTACGTGGGGTCCTAAGTTGACCACCAGTTATTAATCTTTTACTCTTCTCAATTTTATTTTTAATTACTTCTCATGTTCTAAATCCTAGCACAAGGTCGATTTAAGAATTTTGAGATAACTATAGATATAAGATCTCTCTCTCTCTCTCTTTGTCCCTTGTGTTAATTTTTTCTCTCCCATGATACCAATATTTATTAAAGTATTTTTATCTCCACACATTAACTTATAATCGCTAAATAATAAAGGATTTTTGAATCATAAATTCTGTATACACTATTAACCACAAACAACCATCTTAACTACTTTTTCCCCTATAAATTAGTCAAGAGAAGGTTATGCTCAATAAGACGGGAGGGAAGAAGAGTACTCTGAAAAAAAAGTTGAAGCGTTTGTTGAGTTATTTTTTTAAAAGCTGAAGATAACATTAATTAAAAAAAACATATAAAATGATTGGCACAGAAGAAAAGATGAGATGACATGTAATGTAAAGGAGGAGAAAAACGAGAGGGATGATAAGGCCCACTGGAAAAGAAGATGTGTGGAATGTGGACGTAGTGGATGTCGGCAACGTGGGAAAAAGACCGGAAGGAGCAGGCAGGCACTGACCCAGTCTCCCAAGCAGCCATTGTCCCACACGAGTCACTCTAATTGCTACTATTGCGTCTTCGTGCATGAATGCATCCACACACTCCTGAGCTGACGCTGTGTTTCATCCATTCTCACGCTTCAATTATTCAGCTCTTGAAAGCTACTCTTGCGCTCTCCTTTCCTTTCACTTGTCCTCTTCTCCTTTTTCCATTCCCCGCTCCATCCTTTCTTCCTCTCATCCCTCCGTGCATTTCCACCCAACTGAAGCAACCTCTCCTGCTGCATACAACTTTGAAACGTGTGGCCCCAGCTCCAGAGCCCTCTTATCCTTAAAATGCATGGTTTTTTTTTTTCAAGCTTTACTTTTATTTATCAGGCTCAAGCCCCCCGACCCGATAATCTTATTTTATTTTTCTTAAAAAATAAAGTTGCCATTATATCATAAATTAAAATGTTCTTGAATTTAAAAAAAAAGGTAATACATATTCTAATTTTAAGAGTAGAAACACATATTTTAACATTTAAATATAAGTTTAAGTAGCTTCAAAGAGCTGGGCTTACAATACAAGCCATTTTGTCAAAAAAACATTTCATTTTTTAAAGCTCGAACTGAAACAACAGTTTTAAACAGGTAACTCGATGGCACTATCTGTTTTCTCGATTATGCCCTGCACCCACCCCTCCTTTTTCATGCTCACATCTCTCCCCACGCGTTTAGACCATCAGATCTCCACACTGTACGAAAACTCAACCAATAAATTGTATTCTCTCCGTTAGAACAATGTAAAGTATGTTTTGGAGGGTTGATAAATTATTTTATATTTATTTTTATGTAAAATATCTTATTAAATCAATATAATTATGAAAGTTGTGTTAGTTTCGAAATAATTAATAAATTTATTGAAAGGTAACGTTTAGTTAAAAATATTTTATATTTTTTAAATTAAGAGAGTATAATTAATAACTTATGAATAATGCATTTGTTATATACACACTACAACTTTGGCCTTCCTTTGCGTTGGAACTATTCATTGTATTTTAATGATTCGATAATCATGTGATTTTAATGCAAACTACTCATTATATTTTTCTCCCAAAGCTTATCGGATGACACCATCATTAATTATTCATATCATATGCATGAATGGTAGTCGTAGATGAAGATAATTTGCTTGCTCATCTCCATCCGCTTTGAAGACGCCATAGCCTGGGAAAAAAGGCATTAATGACTGAGAAGTCAACCAAAAGTTTCGCAATAATGCGTAAGAATTGAATTAGAGTCGTTCTGATCAATTCGGCAATCGGCATCAGTCTGACAACGATTGGGGGCAAAGCCTTTTGTTTTTCTGGGCTCATTAATTGAGGCCCATACTAACATTGGCCAGCCCAGTAATCCTGCCATGCTCCAAATCCTCATGACCCCAATAAGGCAATAACTATTAGGGAAAAGATCAATAAAATCTTTTTAAATTATATAAACAATAATGTGATATTTTAAAATATAATAATTTTACTAAAATATTTAAAGATCTCTTTGTCAAAAAATTTTCAATTGAGAAGATTATTTGATCTTTTTCGCTGAATTATAGAACATCTTTGTGGTGTATCCAGAAACTATGTATGAGTGTCTTAATGATATTGACTTGCATGCTTTGACAGCTTCTAAGCTATACTGTCTGTTAGTGTTCATCACACATCTTTCTAAATGCATTTTTAGAAAAACAGAAACATCTATTCCTTGTGCACTTTTGTTTAATATATTCCCTTCCTCTTAAACTAAATTGATCAGGTGATGTGTGTTTGCTTCATTATTTGTGGTGTAACGTAAGAGGAAAAAATTTCTGCTCTCATTGCAAATGTCAAGCATGTTTGGCATGGGTGATGATTTCGGTGAGGATGCATTACTTGGGAAGCTTGAAGGCATGAAAGTTGTAGTTAAAAAAGTTGACATGCAATTCAAGGATCCAATAAGCCAAGAAGTTTTCTTCATTTCGTTGCCGTTTAGCTTTGAATATGTGAATTGATTTTCATATTCTCTAAATTATAACTTGTATTCTTAGATATTTTAAAATCTAGAAGATATTCCATGTGTTGTTGTTGTTGTTGTTGTTGTTAAACTTTCTGGCAAGAATAGCAACTGGCTAAATAGAATGAACCAAATCGCTGAAATAGGGTGCATGATATCAATTGAATCTCAGTGGAATGAGGTTAGGGAATATATTCAGGAATAGCTGATGAAATCAAAGTAAAAGGAAAAGATTTCGAAGAAGTGGAAGAACATCGAGGGTACATGAATAGAAGGCTTCTATTGCTGTAAATGTTGTTTCTATTATTAATGTACATTTGTAATTAGTCACATAGTTGTTGGTACGATATGATTTTGAGTGCCAGCACACAAGATGGTCTTGCTGGTTGCTCTGGCAAGTGACCCAAGTGAGGGAAGAGACCATTTGGGGAAAGGTTGATATTTAATCTTAATGACTAAGATATGTGTGTATTTAATATTTCATCTAAAACTGTCATAACTTTTGTCAAATACTTCAATACAATAATTTCACAAATTTTTTGATTTTTTTTTTTGCAAAAGATTTAAGTAATAATTTTACCATTACAAGATGAAACGTTGTTAGAGGAAAATTCTGTAATTAATTTTGCTTACCGTCATAACATTTCGAATGAAATTACCTTTTTTCAAAGTGTCGTTAAACTATTTGCTCTTTTTTTTGTTGTTGCTAATTTTAAGTCTTTGCAAAACACGAGATTAATTCTAGTTACTACTATACATTTTGTGTGTCTAATTACTATCATAAATTTCGTAAAGGCAATTACAAGTTCAACTTGAGAGTTCATCACTTGTGGTGTTTGTTAGGGTGATGAAATTTGGATCATTCAAATCTTTGTCTTAAAAATGATATTCCAAATTTAAAAGTTTTTATTTTTAATTTTATTTTATATTTATTAAAATAAAAAATATAAAAATTATGAAAAAAGTATATAAATCTATTCTTTATCAATTTGAACATATTTAATCTATATGATGTAATTTAATATTGTTATAAATTAATTATCCAGACTTATTATGGACATTTCAGATTTAAAATTTTTAAATCGCAATATTTAAAAAAATATTTTTTAAAATTTTCCCATTAGGAGAGTAACTTTATTTTTAATATTTTATTTATCAAAGTAAAAATTATAAAAAATTAATATTAAATATGGATTGTTCAAAATACATCCAGACAATTAATTTATAAAAATTAAATAAATTAATATTAAATTGAATCACTTAAATTAAATTAATACTGCTAAGATTAATGATGAACATATATATTAAAAAATATGGGCCATCCAAATTAATCTTACTGGTGAAAATTTTTTTAGGCTAATGAGACGGTGCGCAGCTATGAAAAGGCAAACCAGTTGATTACCATTAGGCTACTACAAGAAGGAAAAAATGCACGTTAAAGCCTCTGGGCAGCGGCGGGAGCACATTTCGTGCTTATCAGTTATCACATCACCTATCATATAATTTAGACGGTCTAAAATTACAAATTTTTTATTATTAAAATAAAAAATTTATTAATCTGATTGTTTAGATTGTCCAAATTTAATGTTAATTTTTATAAATTGATTATTCGACTTTATTCTCAACAGTTTAGGTTTAATGTTAATTTTTTTTATAATTTTTCATTTTAATGAATACAATATTAAAAATAAAGATAATCTCCCAACTCAATCTTCCCAAATTTTTTTTAAATTACAAGTTAAAAGTATTGGTTTTAAATTGTCCAAAATAAATCTATATGATTAATTTATAAAAAATATAAAAATTAATATTAAATTTAGACTAACTTATTAAATATGAACTGTACATATTGATAATTAATAAATTTATTAAAAAATTCATAAATTTTTATTTTAATAAAATAAAATAAAATAATAAAAATGAAAATATTTAAATCTTAATTTGAATAGTGCTGATGCTCATCACCTCAGTTGACCACCTAATGAGTGAATGTGCTCCCGGGCAATGGGTGCGAGATAGCGCACCAATTTTCAACCTACTGTAAATATGTTACTCCTTTCGTCTAAAAAATATTTTTTAAGAAATTAAATATTTTAAAATATAAAATATTTTTAATCTTTTAAAATATAATAATTATTATTTTTTTAAAAGTATCCTTATTAAATATATCATTTTATATTTTGAAAAAACTAATCATTTAGTCCTTATAATTTGACCTGATTGTAACTCAATCTATGAACTTTGACTCGTTATAATTCAGTCTTTGAAGTTTTGACTCGATGATAAATCCACCCCTGAACTTTGCTTCTTGTAATTTAATTATTAAAATTTTAACATCTTAAACATTGATTCCTATATTTTAAAAAAAATTATAAAGATTAAAATGGTTTAATAATTTAAAATATTATTAATAAATTTTAAATATTTTAAATATTTTTAATTTTATTTTTTAAAATATAGGGACTAATATTTAAAAGGTTGAAACTTCAGAGATTAAATTACAAAAGGCAAAGTTCAGAGACTGATTTATAACTGAGTTAAAACTTTAGGAACTCAGTTATAATGAGTTAAAGTGTAGGGATTGAGTTACAACTAAGTCAAAACTATAAGAATCAAAAGATTAATTTTCTCTTATATTTTAAATACAAATAAATATGAATTAATTTAAAAATAAGTAAGTACTTTATTAGAGGATAAAATTTATTTAATTTTTTTTTATATTTTTGAACGGAATGAGTAATTAAATTCTAACAAATGCAAAGTTCTTTCAATTTTGACGTTGTCTATGCGTTTGTATTTCAAATTTTCAACTTGCAGTAGAAGAAATAAAGTAGTATAACTGTACAAACTTAATTAGTAGTTAAGTTATTTTTTTTTTAGGGCTGTTTGGTTGGGTAGGAGGGGAGAAAAAATTTTAAACCTTTCCCTTAGGGATCCATCCCTCCTCTCCTCTCACCTCCTTTTTCCTCCCCTCAAACCAAACGAAACCTTAATTTATCTGAACGAAATAGAACATTTGTTATCGGTTACCTTCGGTCGCTCAAATTGCAAGATGTAACGTTATTCCCCAGCTCGTACATCACTCACGCACACAATAACTGAGCAATCAGGAAGTTAAGCATATTTGAAGCAATCAGAAGTTAAAAATGAAGGGAATTTACTAACCCACACTGTACCGAGTTCTGCTTCCCTACAATTTCAAATATCAATCAGAATGCAGCACAAAAGATAAAAGCCATACGTGAAGCACTTCTCAATACAGGTGAAATCAAACAAATATTTCTTTGAAGTTTTTGTTTTTTAAAAAAAAAACAGATTTCACATTGCTAGCAGTTGGCAGCTGGTGGGCGCGAGACAACTGTGTCAGAATCAGTTTGCGAGTCACGATCTACGAGGATATAGAAACGGCCCCTGATGAGATGACATTTAAAAATGCAGAAGCAGAAACGGAAGGTTTGGAAAGCATGCATGTGAGAAACTACTAGAATGCAGATAGAAATAAAAATGAGGGACTAGCTTTCTCGGACATGAGAAAGTCGGCTTGGATATTTCGGGGATATCAACCGTAAGCTTCATTCGCAAGTTAAAACCCACGAGGAATTGTACTATTTTGGTTGGAAAGCCACATGCATTCTAGCATGAGCCGCGAGTTCTGCGCTCTCTAATCTCTTGACTAGTATAAAAAGGGGATCCATGGAAGCCTTCTGCTATAACACCGCATAGCGTACATCAATGGCATCAAGCTCGAGTAATTGGACGACGAGGCAAAACCAAAGGTTCGAGAATGCTCTGGCAATCTACGATGAGGGCACACCAGAAAGATGGCAGAAGCTGGCGATGGCCGTGGGAGGGAAGACAGTGGACGAAGTAAAGAGGCACTATGACAGCCTCGTGCATGACCTCAAGCAGATCGAGGAAGGTCAAGTGCCTTTGCCCAAATACACAATGCCTGGCTATACCCTTCATCTACGTGGATGAACAAAAGGTTCTTTGATTATTTAGTTTTCATTTTCACAGTTTCAGAGTGTTTATGCCTCGGCGTGTAAAATATGTCTGGGTCTGATGTTGATGGCAGAATGAAGGCTTTGAAACTGAAGTGAAGTGTGACTACTGACAGCAGCAGAAGCGGCGGTGGGGAAGATAACTGATGACCAAAATGCATTCACCTAACTAGTCAGCTCCTTTTCTACATATTCTCAAATGTAATTTGGTTTCGTTTTACAAGAAAGGATTGAAGATCCAATTCCCTCCATTCCAGAATAATTGTTCTCTTTGGATATTGACTGTTTCAAAACAATTGCCCTTATAATAAATAAAATTGTTTTAGTAAAATATTTAAAATTCAAACTATATATTTATTAGTTTTTTTAGTCAATATGTATAACTTTAAAATGATTAATTATAATGTGATTGAGGGCTGCAATCCCAACCCTATGTATTTAGTTGGACAAATAGACAAAAATACCTCAGAAATTATTAGTTAAAAGCATCTAATAATCTGAAATGGGGAAAAAAAAAATTGGTCGGGTAAGACCTGTATATTGCTCTCGAGTCTTGGCTCGCAATCAACAGTCACAAAGGCTGTATCCAGTATCTAGTCGCAGCGGTGCCCTGCTCCATTGCTTTGGTTCCCGCTTCCTCTATTTTTCAACTCTGCTGATATACGTGAGAGCTTGCAATGGAAGCTGACACTTCGTCATACAAGGTACTGAAATTATAATCTAGGGTTCCACGACTTACTTTCGCCCTGCCTGTTTGTGTTGTTGAATTGTTTCCTCCAAAATAAACACATTATTGGCATGTTCCCTCTTTCCGGTTTTAGTTCAGTTCTTTGTCTTTTAGTTAGTTCTTAATGAATTCCTAATTCACCAAACCATTGTTATTCTGACATTTTTTGGCCATGTGCAGATTATACTGGGCTCATCTTCTATTGCACGCCGGAAGATATTAGCTGAAATGGGTTACCGATTCACGACAATGGTATATACCTGATTGGGTATTTCTTGGCCGACATCTCTCTGGTATTTGTGTTAATCTTCTTGTGCTTAGACTGCAGATATTGATGAGAAAAGCATCCGAAAGGAAACTCCAGAAGAGTTGGTCATGGCTTTAGCTGAAGCCAAGGTCTGTATTGTTTGCTAATATTTGTTATTTGCTTCTGTAAAGTGAAAATACTGATAATACCTGATTCAATTCTTTGGTTGATACTTGAAACGTAGCTTTATCGGTTTATAGATTTTCCCTCCTGGTGACTGGCCAAATTATGAAGGGACATTGTCGTTAGAGCTCAAGTGAAGGAATCTTGATGCGAGTCAGACGTGGGATACTTTTTTATTTTGTATAGGAGATCTTAAGGAGATATGTTATCTCATCTTCATGGAGTCACCTGAATTACTGTTTGTTCTGTTTCTGCCTTGTTTGTTTGCTTGTTCATTTCACTTTTACTTTCCAGACCCTAATGGAAGAACGTGTTTAGATAAAGTATTCTCTGATTCTGGATGTGAATTACATGTCAGGCTGATGCCATCATCTCAAAACTCCAAACAACCAATAGTCAAGAGGCTGTTGATGAATCAACAATTTTAATTGCAGCAGACACAGTATGTCTTGTTTCTTTGTCTCTGATGACCTTGGATTTAGTGTTGCGGCTATTAGGATGGTTTTCACCAAGGCCATTTATGAATCAAGGATCTATGATTTCCTTGTAGAGGATACATTGCATGCCAGTTTCTACTTAACAGAGCTTGCTTTTTTTTTTGGGCATCCGATGGGGAGACACAAATACTTCATTCCTGTTGCATAATTAATGATCCAAATGTCCTCTTGTTGACCTTATTATTTAGGACTGACGAAGCCTGATGAAAGCTAGAATTGTACTGACAGTAAAATGTTCTTCTTTTATTGAATTGGTATAAGATAAGATAGAACCATGTTACATTCAGAGGAGTGGATGAAGCTGGATGCACAACTCAACTGGAATATAAGACAGAAAAATATAAGCTACAAAGAAAAATAAAATGCTCCCCTAATAGCGTCCCCCCCCCCCCCCCACTCGCACATGTGTGTGCACCTCACCTGACTCGTGAGTTGTGATGCATGTAACAACCCTCAGTTCCCTCTTTTTTCCGTCAAGCCACCTTATCACAAATAATGCAGCCATGGTCAGCCCCAGCATATTATCTTTGATCTTCATCTTCTTCACGTTGTTCTTGAACCTCCCTGGCCCAAAAGTTGTGGGTCTAATGGAGCCTCTCTGGTCTTTTATCATTATCACCCTCCCCCCATTGCACCTTTTTCTTCTTCAACTCCCTTATCAGAAGCTTGATGGGATTGATAAAATGTCACCTGAAATTCTGAATTGTGCTAAAACTTGCTACTTCCTTGATAATGGAATGCAAATGGCAGATTATGCAGTTTATCCATACTTTTTTGGTTTGGGTTCTGTATGTGTATTTGTTCTTTATTTTAAGTCAGTGTGCATTTTTATACCCTGTTTTCAGTGCTTGCATGGATTCACTTCTTTTTTTTCTCTCTTGTTGCTCTTAACTGACAATTTCATATGATCATCAACTTCCTGCAAAATCCTATTCTTAGGCAGTTGTCCTGCAGCTAATCCTCAAGCACTTACTTTAACTGATCATAATTTTTACATAGGCAGAAGCTATTTTAAAGAGGCTCCCCGTTGATGATCACATAAAGGATGCTGAGCCGACATTATTAATTACTTCTGATCAAGTACACATCATATCTTCTGATTAATTCTTTTCTGGATCATCCTTATGCATCTTCTGCTCATCAATGTTCATAAATTATCATAACCTTGGGAATGGGATTTTCTTAGGGAAGAATTGCAATAGTGGTATATTTATTTTGCATAAATTGGCCAATTGGCTGAAAAATATCTCGTGCCCAGAAATTATGGATCAAATTTTTAAAAATTTGAGAGCGTGGCGAATTCACATTGATATACATGGAGTTTAGCATTGGTATACAGTTGATATATATATAATGGGTTTATTATCAAAAAATTGAAAATTTACAAGGATTTATCATTGATATACAACAGTATATCATTGACAAATATAATAAATCAGTTATAATGCAAAATATAATAAATGTTATAGGTTGTTTGCTTGACTTGGTTCTATAACATAGGCTATATCTGCAAAAGTCCCATTTATTTTTTGCCATTGCAATAATGCAATCATAAAATACTGTCAGCTGTGTCATTGCATTTTTTGATTACTTCCTGATTTCTTTTACCTCTCCTTTTATGCTTTTTTTGCCAATTTGGTGTATCATATAATATTAGTGTCATTACCAGCCCAAAAATATTTAAGACTCTTAAATTAATTTGTATATCCTGGTATTTTGGCTACAATCCTAACTAACCTCCATTTTCAAGTGCCCAAACCTGCACTTCTATGCTCTGTATCCTCATAAATAAAAGGCCAACTGGTGACAACCTCTTGCAACATAAGAATTGCAACTTTCTTTTCTTTCTCTGAGACAAAGCTTGCATATGTCTAACATGTGTTGTTAAATGGTTTCGAGGTGGTGGTCTATGAAGGCGTGATAAGGGAAAAGCCATCGAACAAAGATGAAGCTCGGCAATTCTTGAAAGGTTTGCTCAATGTCATGTTCTCTTCATTTATCAACAACGAGGAATGACCACTGTTCCTTCCAACTCCCTCTTTCTCACTCACGTCCTCCTGTGGCTCTCATTTGGAATTCTAATGACCTCCTTTATATATATATTTTAATGATTCTGTGCATGTCTTCAGATTATTCTGGAAAGTGTGCAGCAACTGTGGGATCTGTACTAGTTACAAACCTCAAAACAGGGTTCAGAAAAGGAGGATGGGATCGTGTGGAGGTATTGTTTTTGCCCCACAGTTTATCATTTCAGAAACAGGGTCCTGCCAAAAAATATTGACAGGAACAGAATATTCATTCCCTAATGACTTGCTACTAATGATTCTTTGTTGGGGTCACAATGAATATGCAGTTGGTCACAGTTGATTACATGACATTGGGATAAATCTATGATTCACTATATTTGAGGATAAAATTTCTTAGATAGGCTAAAGTAAGTCCTCATTAAACTGACCCAGGTAGCTTTGGTTTCTACTCATTTGCTTAAGTCAACAAATGTAGGGACTTTCCGTCAGTTTTCTATTTGCTTATACATAGATGTGCACCTTTTTCTTGTTCGCTCTCCCTCTGTTCTCTTACCCTATGTGGAAACTGATTTTGTTTTGTGATTTACAGATCTATTTCAATGAAATACCAGACGAGATCATCGAGCAGCTGGTAATCAATTCTTTTATGATGTGTTTGGATTAATAAGGATTTGAATTTGAATTTGAATTTGAACCAAATCTCTTATTTGGATACACAAACATTTATTAATCTAGATTTGGTTCAAATCTAAATTCATTTCAAATTATGATTTCTTTGTTGTAATTACAAATCCTCTCTGTATTTTAGTCATTTAAAATTTTAATTATTTAAACATTTTGTTCTTTTTGCATTTTTACTATTTATATTTTTATGACCCTTGTATCTTTTTTCATCTCTTGTTGATTGAAAAATAGAAATAAACTCATTATTTTTAATTTTTTTATTTTCATTTCAAATCTTAATTCATCTCTCCTTTTCATTTGAAATTTTTTATACTCTTTAAATGAAGGATTTTAAATATATTGATTTCAAATGTGAGATTTGAAATCTATAAATTCAAGTGGTGCTTGAATAAATTGCTCCGTCATCTTCAATTGCTGTGCAAAGTAAGTTGATGCGCATAAATATTTTTTTTCTTTTTCTTTTTTTTAGATTGACGAGGGAGTTACACTCAACGTTGCTGGGGGTCTTATAATTGAGCATCCTTTAATATTGCCATTGGTCAAAGAAGTGGTAGGTTAGCTCATCTTATATGATTTATTAATTAGCAATCGCAATGCGAAATAACTGATGGCCTGGACGACATCACAAAGTGTCGTGGCCTGTCCTTAGCTATGTTCATGTGCTAAATGGTTGCTTTTTTGCAGGTATGAAGGTTTTTGGTAGTCTCGCCTTCCTATTCCTACAGTCGGGAGTGCATTCTAAGCGTTGGTTTGTATGTATTTGCAGGTTGGGACAACTGATAGTGTGATGGGACTTCCTAAAGCTCTGACTGAAAATCTCTTAAAGCAGGCTCTGTAGCCGTTGCTGCCCTTTCCCCTTGGCAGACTTGTTTATTAACATGCTATGAATCCACATACCGCATTTTCTAAGAACACAATTTTTTTTGACTGAAGGAAGTGTGTGTCATTAATGGCCTGAGGACGCTATATTCTGCCGGAACGAATTGGCAGTTATTTCTGGGCTTGCTTCATTCCTATTTTTATTTATATTATAATTTTAAAATATTCCATGCTCATTCATATTTATTTTTTTTAATTGAATTGGTTTGTTAAATAATTAAATAAATAACTTTAAGCATCTCCATATCTATAACTTCATTTTTTTTAAAGAAAAAGTATACTAATAAAAATGAACTCTCCTACTCATGTGAACTCTTAACATTGATTTTGACAGCAACAAAAAAAAAAATTGTAAGCTAATAAAAAATTGGCTAAAGTATTCATTTAATTCTTTAATTTTATTTTTTGTATCTTTTTAGTTCTATAATCCTAATATTGCTAGCTTCATTTCAATAAATTTTTACAGTAAATTTTTAAATATTAACAAAATAGTTTTAAATGTTGATATATTAAGTTTAATTTTTTTTAATAACAATGATTGACATAAAATATAATCATTTAAAATTAATAATGTTAAGGTTAAAAAATTAAAAAAAATACCTTATAGGATTAAGGGGTTAAATTAAAATTTTTTATAAAATTAGAGAATTAAAATTATATTTTAACCTAAAAAATTTACGTATTTCAACTCTAATATTTGAAATTTATGTATTTAAAATTATTTATTTCAACAGCAAAATAATTTACACTAAAAGTTAACTCTCCTACTTGCTTGAATCACATAATTGAACTATAAGTCCAACAGTAAATGAGCTAATACTTAATAATCTTTTTAACAATATAAACTTAAATTAACAAAATAATCATTTATAATAAAAAAATATTTAAATTTAAATATATACTCCCTTCATCTTAACTTATAAAATAAAGTTGAAAAAGATCGTGCATATTAATAAAATATAATAATGACATTTTACAAACTTTAAAATAAAATTATAAACTTTTAAAAATACTCCTACACATATAATCATTATATGATAATATTAAAAAAATTTTATTAATAAAATTTTATTTTTTTAAAATATCTTTTATTTTAAGACAATAACACACCCCTAACTTTATCTTATAATTTAAAATTAAAATGAAGGAAACATTCTGTAGCCGTTGATAATCTTGAACTTTCATCCAGTGTGTGTGCGTGTTAAAATACATATATATGTGCACGTTTCTTTCATGTATGTTTATTTGTCTTCCTTTCTCAATTAGGCATGCATAAATCATAACTTATAAACATCAATTAAAATTTTAAAAAATGATATTAAAATACTGTGATTACCTCGACCATTTGAAGTACCGGTTTCACTGATTCTGACCAATTCACTGCTGATTCTCTCCCATACAAGTCTAATCAATTGAATTGATTGGTGCCGTACAATTCTCAGAATATTCGATTTATAAACTCAAATTTTGAAATTTGATGACTAATCAATGTTCTCCTGAATTTGATTTTTTTGGCCTTTTCTCCTGTTACTCTTTAAATTACAATCCTCTTGTCGAAACGAAACATAAATGAACGAAATTTGGCGACAAACACCTAATGAAAGGCCAGAAATCACAATGCAAAAACAAATTTTTCAGATATGAATAAAATAAAGATCTAGGATTTACGATCATGTCGCTGGTTTTCTACCAGCAAACCTCTTTAAAGATTTTGGTAAACTACCTTCCTCGTCGATTTTTTGTTTCTTTCTGGAAATTGCTTCCTCCTTAATTTTTTCTTCCAAGAAAGGCCTTTTCACTTTCTCAATTGCTTCCTTCTTCTTCTTCACCATCTTGCTTGGTTTACTTCTTCCTTTAGTTTTTTTCTTCATTTTAATGTCCTTGGCAGCTTCAACAGCAGCTTCCATCTCTGCCCCCATATCCTTTGTCAGCTTCTCTTTCTTTGTGGGCTTTACTGTACCAATTTTGCTTGGGTCCAGCATGATCGTCTCAGGCGGCAGCTTATCCAGAAGTGAGCGAACTTCTTTCTCTCTCCTCTGTTTAGATGTTTCAAATGGATTGGCCACCCACGTATCAAAGTTAGGTTCTCCTGATCCTGGAATAAGAATGCTGGACCAACCCATGGAATGCCCTATGCCTAGAACATCTTCATATGGTCGAAACATTAACTTTGCTATTTGGTAACCTTTAACCATGGAATGAGTCATATACCTAGAGTAATTCTGAGAACCAGAAAGATCACCCAGAACCTGTATAAAAGATCCAGTACCACATGCAAGTAATCCTTTTTGACTAAAATCCAAGGTGTTGGCATGGCCATGTAGTGTCTGGAGAACCTCAAATTTCCTCAAGTCCCAAAGCTTTATTTTTTTGTCCTTTCCAGCTGTGGCCATTAAGTGGCCATTTGAGTGAAATGCCAGAGCTGAGAGAGGACCATGATGACACAACATCTTGACAAGAGGAGCTGAGCTTGCTGGCTTCCACATTGTGACTGTACCGCTTGAATGACCCAAAGCAACAACCCCGTTGAAGGGGTTCACTTGCATCACATCAGTACGACCTAAACCAGTCCGAATATTTCCAACCATTGCACCCATCGTAACATCCTGATAATGCAGCTGCCCAAACTTGTTTATTGAAGCCAGGAGGAAGTGGTTTTTTAGAAACTGAAGCCTTAACACAGCACCATGTTCCTGTAACAAGGGAAGGGAAGCAATCAGCCGCATAAGGATGCATCTCATACTAATTACTTTCAGCAGATTGTGAATGGAAAAACCAATAAAATTTTTCTCTGCACGAAGCAGAAGAACACCCTTGCAAGGGATGGACATACGTGATAGCGCCAGCAAATGCAAAGCCATTTTGAGTCAATAAAAGCAACCAGTAGGGCACTTATGTTCCAGTTAGGAAGAGTTCAAGGTAACAAAAACCAAATATTGAATTCAAGTGACAATCTTCAAAATAATTGTTAGCCATATGCAAGAGATTATCAGAGAAGCTGACGGGCTCAAATTCAACATATTACAAAAGCAATATACGAACCTCAAGGCAATGAAGCTCAGTGCCATCACGGTTATAGATGTAAGGGTACCTGTAAAATTCAAGAATTTTCAAGTTATATATCACCTGAACAAGAGTACACACTCAAAAAAAAAAAAAAATTAATGACTCCATTTGGCAAGAAATAAATCTCTGAACAAGAGTACATACTAAAAAATAGATTTTTAATGACTTAATTTGCTAGGAAATAAATCTAAACAAATTCTCCAAATGGTAGATTTCGCACAAAAACAATCACATAACATCTTGAGCCTCTTACCGCATGGAATTTTGTCCAAATGAGCAGAAAATTAAGCATGGGAATAAGTGATAATTAAACCAAATCAACTAATCATATGAATAGGATCAATTAGCCATGTGAAAATAAGATGCAAAAATTTTTGTAAAAAAATTTACAATCTACAAGCAAACAATTAAGTACTAACTCAGAAAAAATTACTTTTTCTGCGCAGCAGCAAAAAACAGCTCATTATGTAAGAATGTCACATCACGGACTGTTTCTCTAACCTGGAAAAGACAACCACCAAAAAAAAAAAATCAGAAACTGGATATAATTTGAGACAAACAGTAAGAATTTCTCTCTAGTTTGATAATCATGAGCTTTCAACAAGAAGATACAATTACTAGGAGCATGTTTCAAAGAGTCCCCCTCAGGCGAATTAGCACTAAACCATGCCTTACAAAGATGCACACGTGTGCACCATGGCATGCCTTAACAAGATGCAAGAAAACATATGATTAACAAACAACAAAGATGATGTTTAGGATCGTGCTATAGTGCAGAAGTATAGAGAGAATACCTGAAACTCTCTGATTAGGCTCATATTCATCAAGTCCACAATTCCCAAATGACCCTTACGCCCTCCAACAGCCATATGCCGGCCACTTGAAGTAAATTGCAAAGTGTATGGACCAAGTTCTGCAAAAATAAAATATACCGAGTAAATAGCAAAAAAAGGATGAAGGTCAAGGTAAATAATTTTTTTTGCAGAGTTATGGGATAGTGTCTATTTTCATCAACTTTTAGGAGAAAGTATTTCAAAACTTTATGACTACCTTTTCTATTATAGAGGACATCCAAAGCTTTAGACCAAGCCTAAGTTTGCCTCATGTTACTTTTTCAAGATTTAATTATGATTTTTCCAAGCTGGATGTAAAATAAGGAAAAAGTGAAATGCAAGCAAAAAGAAAATTGCAATTCTACATTTTATTACTACAATCAAATTCCTACTTGATTAATGATTAAAAATTATATGAAAAAATATTGAATGAAGTAAGATATTACAGGGATGCACAAAGAAAGATTTAAATTTGACTTAAGATAATTATAACTCCGACCCCACCTAACAGGATAAAGGCTTGCTGTTGTTGTTGTTGTTGCTGTTAAGATAATAATTATAGCTAGCAAACAGTTGAAAAGAACCTGGTAAAATAATATCATATTGGTTTCTTGAGCTTAAGATATCTACGTCTTTAGCTATTGCCTCTTGTTTGATCCTCCATGTCTTCTCTATGCCTTCAGCCTCTAGATAACCTCCCTCACTGGGCACAAGCCACTGCATATATGAAATTAAGGATCAGGGAAAATATGAAGGTCGAACCCTGTAATTGTATCATTGTACCCACAATAACTAACATCTTAAACTAAGTTGCTAACATCCTTCAAATTTGATTTAAAAGTCCCCAATAACTCTCGATTCTCAATATGAATTCAATCTATAAACATATGTGACTCAATATCGAATAATAATGATCCAGATATCTTGAAGATGAAGATCCGTTTAAAAATGATCCGTGTATTTTTGATGTCTAGCTCATACTTTTAACTCTACAGAATAACAAGGGTAATAATAGTCCATCAGGAATGGTCAGAGAGCATAAGGATTCTTTTAATTGGAAAAAGAAAAGAGATGAACACGCTTTGTTTGTAGAAAATAGATAATGATTGCAAACATTCTAAATAAAGATGTTATTATGACAAGTTATACAAATTTCATTTCAGATGAATCACAGCTTTCCCCTCTGGTACTATTCTTCAGAGGCGCTGAGGGGAAAAATGTCAACTCAGCCTCTGGAGGGACCGAAGAGGAGCTTTCTAAAGAAAAAATAAAAAACTAACCTTATCCGCCTTGGCAGCAACTTTAGCAGATTTACTATATAACTCTTCTCTAACAGAAAGTAGACCCTTCAGTTTTTTGTCTTTCAAAACCTGCAATTTATAGTTCACAATGATGATAAGATGACATTATCAAACATCTATGTCTAGATTCTTGAAATCCAAATTGTTCATACCTCCAAATTCGCACCTTCTCCTCTCAGATACTTCTTTATTTTCAGATCTAACTCATCAGAAATATCCTGCAAAGCAATATCATGTATCAATAATAAAAATTTAAAATACAATGCAGAAGATATAGAAGAAGCAATCAGTATTTCCAAACTAAAAGATTTGAATAATATCCTGGTGAATGTAATCTAAAATGTCATTATTAAAACCGACACCTATTTCTTTCGGGAGAACCAAAGCTATTGCTTAGTTACGACTTAACACCATTTTCTGTCAAAAAAATTAACTTCAGGACGGGTGAAAATGCAAGGACGTCCTTGAAATATCCTACTCCTGCACTTGTTGTTCTCTTCCTTTTTATTTTTCTACAAAATCTTGTTTAAAAACGGATCTTTAAGTTCTCGACCACCCTTGGGTTTCGCTAAATGGTTTTTAACGGCCCTGAACACCATAGATTTATGAGGGTATTGATGTACTGGAAAGAACTTTTGAGATAGTCTTAGTTTAAGTTTTTTATACGAAATTAGGGAGGCTTCCTCGTTGCTCTGCACTTGTATTGCCTTCTCTGACCATTCCAATATCATTTTTTCTAGTTAAAAGCTGACTAAGTATCATATACATAAAACGTTGCCAGAGAACTTCAACAGAAAAACTTCAACTCTTTGCAGATACTTCATAATAACTTTGATCGCCTCCCATTGGCAAGCCTTCAATTAAGAAATTCAGTACAAAAACATATAAAATGGAAAAATCACGAACACTTAATATACAAACACAGTCATGACAAAAAAAATATCCAAATACGGTCTCAGTGACACCAACTAGTCTTCATATTGAGCCAAAAAAGAAATAACTAAATGAACGCAGTGAATCCCCTTTTTGTCCATTCGACTCGATAAATAGCAGCTATTTAACTTGTACCAGATCAGTGGAAGGCTTGACCCCTTCAAGAGTGTCATTGTGTAGCCCCTCCCCCTCAGCCATCTTGGCAGGAAACTGAACTAATGGCGGCAGAGGGCACCGACGGCTAAAATCGAATATCCTCTTCCCGCCACGGCGTTGGTTCAGCTTCAAACGTTGATAGTGGAGACAGACTAGAGAAAACTTTTGCAGAGACGGCGGACGAGAAGAAGGCAGGGAAAACGTAACGCAATGGAGGACGGTAGAAGACGACGTCTTTTGGCCCTTGTGAGGACTTGCGAGGGTATGTTTGGGGTTTGGGTTTCTTCATTTTTTGCAGTTTAATTTTTTTTCCTATATCTTGGCCCAATATTCTCGACCCTATTTCTTCGTTCCACTTTTCCCCCGTTCATCTGGGCTGTGGCTCTGGGTGGGTGGCGAACTGATCAAAAAGGAATAACTCCTTTTAAATGTCTTGACACTTGAGTCTCAGGTCTCAGCATATAATTTTAGTTTAAAAAAACAAAAAGTTACCGTAGGTTTCAAAAATCGAAAGGTATATTCTGTGAACTTTTCTTTGTACTACAAGGTAAATTACAAATACATTTGCTTAATTAGGATATATATTATGTATAGAATTTTGTGAATATTTTATTATGAATGTTTGATATCTATTAAAATAAGTGTTAAGGGCCATTTATGTTCCTGAACTATATGCAAAAGGTCATTAATATTTTTAAAGTTAATTATGGGATCAATTTTGTTTCTCAACTTTAATGATTCTCTTCGTCATCATCTTAACATGAAAAACACTTAACGTCCGTTCATTATCAGTAGATCTCACTATTTTTTAATATTTTTTATTAGGTTAAGGGTAAATTTTACCCCTTAACTTCTATTAAAAAAGTTATTTTTACCCCTCAACACAAATATTTTATAATAAAAAAACATAGTATGGGGCTTACTAATAGTGAAAAAATGGTCATAATAAAAAAAATATTTAAAGTTGAAGGACAAAATTGATCCATAGTTGAGTTTAAAAACATTTATGATCTTTCGTGTATAGTTCAAAAATAAAAATGACTCTTAACTTTTAAAATAATATTCATTATTAGCTTGTCAGCTTGTCCAACTAGAACATTTCAACCAAGGTTGATATTGTGTGTAGAAATCTTAATGATGATGCTCTCTGAAAATGAGATCTTTCATGTGTGTTGAAAATGGCAATTTGCATAGCTACAGAATGCAGATATGGTGTTAAAGACCAAGGGGTCCTTTTTGAGTTTGATTGACTCTTTTTTAAGATAATCCTGTGAATAGATTGCGTCCCTGAATTAGGTGGCAATATGCTACCCCCGTGAATGGCATTTTCGTTAAATATGTTGCGTCAGTCTAGATCTGTTGCTCGAAAACTGAGTCCAAGTTCTTAAAGATATATTTTATAACGCAACGGCTGAGCTGGAGCTGTATCTCCTATTCCTTTTCTAGTCTTGGTTATGATTAAGCTGAGAAAATTAAGTTGAACTTAAAATTAATTCATTTAATCCATTAAACTTAATAGGTTGGATTAGGCCAAATTGATCTGTTTTTTAAAACGACTAAGCTAGCCCAACTTATAAAAATAGTAGGCTAACCCACAGGCTAGCATATTTTTTAAAAATAATTTTTAAATTTTTTAATCATATTATATATTTTTTAAATTTATAATAACAATAATATTTTTTAAATATATAATTTATGACTCTCAAATATGTTCTTTACATTTGAAAGATAATGTAAATCTTTCTTACAATTTACAAATAAAATTTTTGTTATAGTTTGTAAATCGATTATTTATTAATTTTTATAGAAATATTTTGAATATATATTATTTGATAATCTCATAAAATTTATTGATTGAAATCACAAATATAAATTCATTTATAAAAATTATATGAATTTATATTCAAATTTTCTTTCTCAATGAGAAAGATAACACACATAGGCAAGAAGATGATTAATAATAAAAATCTAGTAAAATAATTTATATGAATTTATATTCAAATTATATGAATTCTATATTTATTTTATTTATTTATGTTTTTAATTGCTAATTTATTTTAAAATGTAAAATAAATATATATATTTATATTATATAAATTTTAAATTATTAAAAAAATTCAAATAACTTTTTATAGGCTAGCCAGCCCATTAAAAAATGGGTTGGGTTGAGTTTTTCAACTCGTTTTATCTGGTGGGCTAGCTTAACCTAACCCGTAAAAATGCCAACTTGCATAGGCTGGCCCATAGCCTTTTTGCCCAGTGCTAGTTATGATGCAAGTAGTTACCAGCATGGTGCACAGAGTAATAATAAATTAATAAATAATAATGCGGCTTTCCATGAGATGTTTTCATAAATTGATAAATATAATAATAATAATTAATATAGGGGGATGTGCGTCATACTAAGCTTTCTCTATTATGTCATGACCCTAGTTGGTGCTCATTTCCTAGAGTCCCGGACCCTCAGCAGGTGTTTTCATAAATAAATCTTGAAACTTGAATGAATGAATATGGAGTTCTACTGCTCTGTCTCCACTCTCAATCTCAAGTGCCGACACCCCCTCTCGCCTCGTGAAGTGAATCACGATCCTTTCTCCTTTCAACTCTCAGCGTGCATCTTGTTTGTTATTTACTTCTTGCCCACTTCTTTGCTTTGTATGAGAGGTTATAGGATTAAATCATAGGAGTACGTGTTATGTCAAACCTTTAAAAATTTGATCATTAGGAAGGATGTACTACCAGCATTACAACGTACCTTGTCCTGAGTAAATTGGGCTCAAAAGGGTCTTACTTTTCGCCCTACCAAGGACACTCAGGGGATAAACTCTAAGAAAAAGGAGAGCGAACAGGGAGTTTTCCTTAAGGAGAGGAGTAGAAGTTGAAAATCCACATGATATAGCTGCCATTTGGAGCTTGACAACTTGCCTTTATTTATTTGTCCCACTTGTTAATCGAGGGACCCAAACCTAACTAGTTTCTATCAGTTCATGAAAAAGGTTAGCTTAGAAGCATGACACCCCATGGTTGTTGGTGTTTGAGAAACAATAACTATAAATGAATGTAGTAACCTTGGCTAGGCAATTTCTCACAAGTGCAAGAATTAGATAGGATGATTTTAAGGACAAAATCCACTAATTAGCCAACGATTTCATGTCAAAAGAATCAGGAGAATATAAAGATGTCAGTAACTGTGCATATAATATTATGACAACATGGTCAACATTATTATGGTCCTGCATTTTATATTGAGGGCATATGGTTGTTAATGTCATGACCCTTTTATATTATTATTATTATCATATCACATGATTGTACGTATTATGATGATAATTGATGTGATGCTCATGGTTGTGATAAATATGTGAACACGTGTTAAATTGAATATGCTACTTGCATCATTATGATTGATTAACATTCATTTGCATAGATTATATTAATCTTCATTATTGTGTGATTGTACTTACCATCTTTCTTCAATATTTACAAATCTTAGCTCAAGCCAAGACAAGGGAACAGTACTAAAGGCTTAGGGCACTAGTTTCTAATTTATAGGCATCTTTTGTCAATAAGTGTATTTTGATTAGACAATTGCCAACTAGAAAAATTATATTATTTTGACTCACTTGCACTATATAATGATTTGTGTTTTGTTTATTTTAAGCCCTAAGTGGTTTGTATATTGAATGTTGATTTATAGACAGGGTCAAAATATTAATGCAAGTATAACATTAATGATGTGAATGACCGTAAAGGAGTATTTTGACATTTTATAGTAAATTGGCTCCCTTTCATGTTTTTGTAATTAAGGGTTGAGCATTAAAATTATGAATTATAAGTTATTGTATTGTCGTGGTGTATTGCATTGATATGTTGTAGTTTATTAAGTGTGATCTTAATATTGATACGAGCTTTTGGCACTTGGATATGAAACTTGACACCTTAGTTGTGTTTGGATTGAAAAAGGAGTAAGTTATGCAAATGGGTATCTAACTTTTTAATGAAATATAATATGTGGGTGAAATAAGTGACATTAGCTAGTGCTCTGAAAGAGTTTTTATAGACATCTAAATCATCTTAATTGAATGTCAAACGAAAAATAGGATGCGTTAAAAATTTACCATAGGGGTTGTCATTTGACAACAATTTTACTATCATGATTTGTGCAATGTGCTGTGGCTTATGGCACAGAAAAGATGTGTCACAGAGCACCTATGTCTATTACACTGAAATGATATTTTTCAGTCTTTATGTAGATGCTTTGATGCAAATCGAAATCCCATACTTTTATAAAAGCATTTCACTTTGATTTTCATTTATGAAATGATTTTAAAACATTTGATGAGTTCAAGAACTTAAAAACCCATTTATGTGAATTTTACAAACTTACTAGTCCAATTGGATTAGTCTTATGATTACCTTGACAATTGGAGGTAATTGTATTGGTAAAGGAGACTTTACAACTACTCAATCGTTCACAATATTCAAATCTATTAATTTGTTGTAATCTAAACAAGCTCAATCACTAATCATAATAATCAACATTTGTATGGAAGGCCTTTCTCCCAAAACACAAAGGCCTACAATAAAAATTACCCAAGTCTACAAATAGAGCTCACATGTAAATGATCTATAATTCAACATATACAAAAATATGTCTAATCCTACTATTGTAAAAATAATCTCAATTATGCATAAGTCAACTAGAGACTTTACGAAATAAGATGTAGGTTTTTGGCATCGATGCTCTCCCTTTCCCTTAGCATTATTCTCTCTTAGAAAGATATAACAAATGAGAATGAGATTAAACAATCTTAATAACTAAGAAACTTAATTAAAGTATATTAAAGTGTGACAGTTACAAGCAAAATAGACAAACTATATTACATAGGAACAACCACACATTAATCACATTATAACATAAGATATTATGCCGCATGATCAATACAATCTCCTTATATCCTTTCTCATATCTTCTAGTCGAACTCATAGTCTAACAACTCATATAGATCTAGTTCGGGTAACTAGATTAGCCTTGCTTTTCAATTGTGAGGGATTACCGGTCAAAAATTTCCATACTCACTCTCGAACAATTAATTCTCATTGGTTGGATTTCAAGGTGTCATAAGTGCTTAACCCACACCGTCTAATCTAAGATCGATGATATTGAGCATCATGCTAGTCCCATGCTACACCCATAAGTTATTAGTAATATTAAGCACATTAATAATGCAATACATGAACCACTGTGTGCAAACTAAGTGGAGGCTACATCACGTAAAT